AAAAATAATAATAATAATAAAGATATAGTAGCAAATAGAACATCAAGTAAAATTAGGAAAATTCCACGAAAATTCAGGATCATTCAAACGTAGATGGCCATGGTGAGGATAATATCTGAACTAACATCTTTTGGACGCACAAATTAAGTTTCTGTTGGGATCCATGTTGAGAAGCTTAATTCATGCGTCCTAAGGAAGTTAGTTCAGATATCATCCTTACCTTGGCCATCTACGTTTGAATGATCCTGAATTTTTGTGGAATTTTCCTAATTTTAGTTGATGTTCTATTTGCTACTATATCTCTATTATTATTATTATTATTTAAACATCTTTAATGAACTGTAATTCCATTGGTCTCACTTTACAAATCGAAATTATTTTAAAAAAACACTAATACTGATATTGAATACTAATCTAGAATATTCTATGTATATGAACATATATATATATATATAATTGTAGAGACAGAAGAGGAAATTATCGAAAAGGATATTCTTAGCTCAATTATTTTGTGTTTTATAGATGCCTGAATGAATATTTTCGCAATGAAAACATACGACATTAGGTACAAATAACATGTACAGATATAAAATGAAGTTTAGTTGAAGATCTCAAGATAAATTTTCTACGGTAGGTGAATTCACACCCAGTTCTATAACCCTTCAGCATATCTCGAAAAAGAGCCGAATAGGAATGGAATCGAGAACTGTCAAGTTACGAGTCAAGCACTTTCACACTGTTTCTTATAACGAATAAACTTATCTAAAGTGGAATTATATTTTATTACAGTGGACCTCTTTACAGTTATAGAACAAGAAATAAAATCTTGTAGGTAGTATTGAGGGCAACTAAAAATGACTTCAGAGAACAGAATACAATTTAATTCACTTCGGACTTTCCTGTTGATTGACTGAACCGAAGTGCTCGACCTAAGGTTGACATGTTGGCTTCCTGTGCAGATGCTTCGTAGATGTATGATTATTCAAATTGAAGGAAATTGGTGGATGGTGACTAACAGTGGAACCCAGGATGGTCATTTCCTCCCGTTTTTGACTCGTCACTGGATGTACTAAACTGAATCAAACAATTACTAATACACGTTGCACAAAGGGTGGCATTCGTGGCCCAAGTGGTGTAGTGAATAACGCTTCTATCGTCTGAGACTATGAGTACTGGGTTCGAGTCTCAGTTGAAACACCATTGTAGCGGTAAATAATTCCCCAAAATTATTAACCACAGCAATCATCACTCAACATTGGATGCTGACCATCACTGTTTAAGTCGACTTGTTTAGCTGAAGGCTTACGGTCAAGCATCCCCGCCATTTGGTGCTCCGTCGTGTCATGTGCGTGCACGATTACTAGCTAGCTAAGCATTCATTCCTACCCGCGATTTGGTCCCAAAATATATATCGTATTTGGACGACAAAATCTGGTCTTTTGCTTTACCATTTGGTACTCGAAGAACGAACACTATAGTGGTTGTTGGTATAAGATCTTGCGTTAGTATAATCCGTACAACTCGCGAACGTTCGATACCTGCAATCCCCTAAACCATCATCAACTGGGGAATGCAGGTACATTCAGATGACAACTCCTAAATAGAACGAAATGAACATCATGTGTTCCACCGCCAGTCACCATCCAATAATTTACTTCAAAAAGAATTTAGACCTCTCTTCCGACAGCAACCCAAAGGAAAAATAGTAAATAATAATAGTAACAATGATGAATACGAGTGCACACTTGAATCGTTGGTGAATGCCACAAAAAGATTATCATATAGGATTGACATTAGTTAACTTCTATCATCTCTTTTATTTTATTTCTTTCTAGAAGAAAACGTGTCCACTGTCAAGAAAACAGCAAATATCAATAGGAGTTGCAGCTATTGGTTTATTTTTGGTCGGATTTCTTATTGGGAAAATGATTAAATAACTTTTTTTCCTCTGTTTTATAAATATTCCCACAAAAATAAAACCACTTGTTTATCATCTATACCGCTGATTTCAACCTTATTTAACTGTACTGCTGAATTTCGAAAACTGACATTTGTTTAATTCTCATTTACCATTGAATAAATGGTCCTCCATTACATCTTCTCATTTCTTAGTCTTACATTAAGTTAAACAAGAGTTACTGAATAAATATCTCGCTATGCATTAATTTTTAATAATTTTATATCGAACACTTGGTATTTGTTTCATTCAGTAGATTCGTAGTGATATCTTTGATTTATAGACACTTTTTGGCTATTTTGAAGGAGTTCTATCAATGATTTACGCAGCTGTAGTATATGTTGTGTTATTTGGCAGTGTAATACTATGAAGGGCTTATCGGTAAAATTAAGCACCCATAGCCTCGTTGTCTTACAATATCAGGTGCTAACCTTCACTTTTTAAATTGACTGGTTAGACTGAAGGTACGAAATCAAACGGTATCGTGTTTCATTCCGTTACTTTTGCATAATATTTAGTTAGCTTGTAGGGGATCAAAGAAATCAGTTAATTCGATTGGATCTCAACCATCGTGCTTTCAGCAGTCAATTTATTTACTTATGCTCACTGGATCACACTAAGGGAACAATAGAGATGTGATTGTATATCACCATACTCTCTACATAATTTTGTTAATAAATACACCCTTGAGCAGCCATCAGTGTTATCTATTATCTCTTCACTAATTAGGGCTGTTTATGGAACAGCCTCGTCACCAGGTTACATTGGTCAAAATAAAAAGTAAGCAGGTAGTGTGGGCGAAGCTCAGGTCTATCAGGTTGAGCGTTATTCCTAATTGAAGCCAACGGAAAGTGAGTTCGAAGCTGTTCAAGTAGCATGACTAACTGGTTTCACAAAAGCTATGCTGCTAAATGGTTAATATTTGTGTACACTTTACCTATGAGGATTAGTTCCATTCCCCACTTTGTGTGTGGCTGCGGTCGGTATCTCATAAGTAGAATGAGAATTACTGTTTTTCTGGTTTACGGAGAAGCAGTGTCGGACATTTGTTAGTGTTGAAATCTAGCCTATCTTCTTTGGTCCATTTCTCCATACCTGTTGGCATTTTCTTCACCGTAATCGGAACTTCTGTGTATTTCAATACCCTCCACTCCTTTGTATCATTCACCCAAAGAAGAGTTGGGCAGCTTAAGTTATTCGGAGCATCGTTTATAAGGATCAGAATAGCAGTGGACTCAGAATGACACCTTGTGATATTCCAGTGGTTTCCTTTCTGTGTATGAGGCTGTAGCCTTAGGTAATTCCCCAGAATTATTGGCCACACCATTCATCAATGATCATTGGATGCTGACTCTCAATGTTTTAGCTGATTTGTTTAGCTGAAGGTTTTCCGTCTAGCATCCACGCCATTTGGCACGCTATCGTGTTACATTCGTTAGTTCGTGCACGATCCCTAGATAGTTAAGCAATTATCTCGGACTCCGACTTGGTCCCAAAATATAACTCGTAATTTGGACGGTCAATTCTGGTGTTTTGCTTTGCCTTTGGTCTACGCGGAACGAATATTATAGAAAATGTGAGTATTAGATCTTGCTTTAGTATACTTCGCACTATCCGTGAACGTCAATACTTTTAGCCTGTAAAAGGCTTGATTTTCGTGACAGATCTCCCGCTTTTATGTAGCTCACTATCCAAGCTAATAATTGATCACCAGCTGCCGTTTTGAGATGTGTATGTGTGTGACTTCTTGAGACGAAGGATTGAGGAACTTTTCAAAATCTGAAAGCAGAATATGGACTTGAATATTTTGGTCTTCGCAACCTCTCCATTTATGTCAGTTGGCCAATGAATGGGACCAACTCTTCCCAATCCTGTGTTGAGTTCAGTGTAAGATGATGTCCGAGCCCAGAGATTCCGTAATTCAACTGGCTAGCAGGCTTTCCATCACCTTTGATACTGTCGGCGCCGGATAGGCAAGTCAACAAGACTTTGAGTTTTGTCAGGCCCCTTATAAGAATAGGCGACATGATCATCCACTACCGACCCCTCAACCACTATACAAATTCATCTTATTTGGCGAAACAAATTGATATACGGCATATCGCTAAATAATCACTGGATTTATGTCATCACATCCTGGAGACATTCCTGGACGAAGCCTTGTCAGTTTCTCCAGAACCATGCTAGAGTTTTTTTGGAGAGTAGCCACCTCCACAGTATCAGATGGAATAATATGTTTTCAGGGTGTATATATCCAGCTGGTACCCTGGTTGTGATAACACGAATCTAAGATTGGTCATCTTGTCGTCGGGGCTCACCAATTTGTCGCGTGTTCTATTTGACTAAATGAGCGTACACGTATTTCCTAGTACTTCTTCACGTTTATCAATGTGCGCAGACGTTGTGGCTACTCGACGCCCACAACGTAAAATCAGAAGGCACTTGTGAAGAGTGTAATCGTGTATTATAGCCGTAGTCAAATTTCGAAAAAGTATCAAGGTAACGTTCAACAGTAAATTGGCAAATGTTTACGAAGTACATATAAAATCGGTATGTGTAAACATATAATATGAGTATGCAAATTAGATTAAAATCGTATGTTTATAGTTGGTATGGGGGTACTACATAATTCCCCCACCAGAACACTGAAATATAAAAAAAATACATTTAAGTGTTCGACGAAAACATGCATCGGCGTAATATGCAGCAGAGATAGTACATAGAAAGCGATTTACTAAGCTGAAAAAATGAGCAATTCAATGCGGTCAATAAGGCCGATAATAAATGCGATAATAAAAGAAAAAATAGGATTGATGATCGTGGTAGAATATATAAGGAATGATACAATCGGCCGGGGATCTGTAGTCTGTATACGGAAACGATACGTGAATATTAAGCGCTATATGATTAAATGTAATAATACAGGGAATATCGATGTTAAAATAGTAGTGACGTGATTTACTTATGAAAATATTAATCAGTTAAATGAGTTGTTAAATGACAATTACGAATAAAGATAATAAAAATGAAAATTCGTAATAAGTTATATATTGATGATTTGTACATAACGTTTAGGCCAATGAACTCTCCTACCAGAGCGTGTAGTTTTCATAGGCTTCTCTGGCGACGTTGAAGCTTGCGTGGATGTAGCTGTTGGCACGTCGTTCAGCTGGTCTTTATTGTTGGCTTCGAAATCGTCGATGAATGCTGGTTTGACTCTGTCGACACTGATGGCTTCTGCTTTATTCAGTCGTTCTATCGTGATAACTTTATCATTTCTATTTAGAACTTTGAAGGGGCCATCATAAGCGGGTTGAAGTGGTCGTTGTACACCCTCTCTCCTGACGAAGACGTGAGTGCAATCTGTCAGTTGTGGTGGGATGTATGACGTTCGTTCCTGCTGGCGTGGAAGTGATATCTTGAGCTCGTTCATGTGTTGTTTTAGCTGCTGCACATAACCAGTCATATCTTGTGGAACTTGGTTACCTGGGGTGAAAAATTCTCCTGGTAGTCGTAATGTTGTTCCATAGACTAGTTCGGAAACACAGCAGCCAATATCTTTCTTTAGAGCAGATCGTATACCAAGCAGTACCAGTGGGAGTTTGGTTGACCAGTCGTTTTGAGTCAAAGAAGCAGCGAGCGCAGCTTTGAGTTGTCGATGAAGGCGTTCAACCATGCCGTTGGAACTAGGATGGTAGGCGGTTGTTCGTATTCGTTTGATGCCCAGTAATTCAGTTAGCTGTTGAAAAAGTCGACTTTCAAACTGAGCACCTCTGTCCGTAGTGATAATGGATGGGACACCAAAATTAGCTATCCAGTTTTCGACCAAAGCTTGAGCTACCGTTTCAGCTGAGACGTCGGTTATTGGAACTGCTACAGGCCAACGAGTGAATCTATCGATGCAAGTTAGAATGTAGTTGCAACCATTGGAAGGAGGTAGTGGACCAACTATGTCTACATGTATATGTTCAAATCTAGAGTCGGGATTAGGAAAACGACCAAGTGGTGCATTAGTGTGACGGTTGATTTTGACTCTTTGACAAGACAAGCAATTTCGTGTCCACTTCTTAACATCGCTATTAATGTTCGGCCAAATAAATCTTTCTTTTAGTAGTTTGATAGTAACGCTGACACCGGGATGAGACAAGTTATGTAACTTCTCGAATACTGTATGTCTCATAGCTGCTGGGACGAAAGGTCGATATTTACCTGTAGAGGTGTCGCAGATTATTTTTGTCGTGCCAAAAGGAATTGCGTCTAGCTTTAAAGATGTTGTTTTAGAAGACATGATCTTTTTTAGCTCGGCATCATCTCGTTGTAGGTTTGAGAGACGTTCGTAGTCGATGTCTGGGCATACAATGTTGTCAATGTGCACACGTGATAAAGCGTCTGCCACTTCATTGTGTTTACCCTTCACATGTCGCAGATCAGAAGTGAACTGAGATATAAACTCGAGATGTCGTAGTTCACGCGGAGAGTAGTTATCCTGTTTTGCTGATAAGGCTTTCGTTAGAGCTTTGTGGTCTGTAAAGACAGTAAAAGTTGTACCTTCCAGCATATGTCGGAAGTGCTTGATTGCTAAATAAACAGCCAATAACTCTCTACCAAAAGTGCTATAGCGACATTGAGTAGGATTCAGTCGTTTCGAAAAGAATGCTAGGGGTTGCCATTCGCCGTGTACCTGCTGTTGTAAAACTGCCCCGATGGCGACGTCTGAAGCGTCTGTCATGAGAGACAGGGGGGCATCATTTTGGCGTCTGACTAGAAGTGTCTTGTCATTTAACAATTGTTTGACATTTTCGAATGCTTTAACAGCTTCTGCGGGCAAATGGAATGAACGACTATGTCCACGTAAGCAATCGGTTAATGGTTGTAAAGCTTTGGCACAGTTCGGTATAAAACGCCGGTAAAAATTAACGAGACCCAAAAATCGTCGTAATTTTTTAAAAGAATCTGGTAGTGGATAATCTTTGATAGCTTGTACGTCATCAGGGACTGGTCTGATTCCTTGGCTATCGATTAAATGACCGAGAAATTTCAGGGAGGTCTTACCAAATTCGCATTTGTCTAAGTTGATAGTCATTCCGTATTGGTTCAGTCTTTCAAACACTGTCTTCACATGTTTCAAATGTTCGGCTTCGTCTGCACTTGCAATTAGTAAGTCATCGATGTATGCGTAGACGAAAGGGAGACCACGGAGTACTTGGTCAATTAGGCGTTGGAATGTCTGAGCGGCGTTCATAAGTCCGAATGGCATGCGTACGAATTCATATAAACCAAATGGTGTGGTAATGGCAGTTTTCGGAACGTCATCCGGGTGGATGGGGATATGATGATACGCTCGGACCAGATCGATTTTAGAGAAAACTTTTACATTTGGTAAGTTGCTAGCGAAATCGTGGATGTGTGGTATTGGGTATCTATCAGGTACCGTTTGCTTGTTTAAAGCTCGATAATCACCACACGGCCGTATTTCACCAGAAGACTTTTTGGTTACCATGTGAAGCGGTGAAGACCAAGAGCTGTTGGACGGTCGAATAATACCAAGCTCTAGCATTTTATCGAACTCTGTTTTGGCAATTTTAAGTCGATATGGGTCAAGGCGTCGTGGACGTGCAAAAACTGGCGGTCCAGTGGTTTTAATATGATGAACCACATGATGCTTCGGTTCTGTTCCTCGAAAAGAAGGTTTTAAAAGGTCAGGAAACTGATTTACCAAATTGGTATATGGAGATGCTGGTGTGCGTGTGACCATCAAGTTCAGTGATGATGCACGGCTAATCGTACCAGCAATGTACGTTTTATTGAGCGAGTCTATAAGCTTGGGGCTCATCGGATCAACTAACAGTTTGTGTTGCTGTAGAAAATCAATACCGAGGATTGGGGATGGGACGTCTGCAATGATGAAAGACCAAGTGTAGGTATTCTTTAAACCAAAATCTAAAGTCATTCGTTTACTTCCATATGTAACAATACTGGACTGATTAACAGCTTGGAGCGTAACTGCTGGGTCAGGATGTTGACGTTCCTGTGTAGACGGAGGGAGAACACTCACCTCTGCTCCTGTGTCAACTAAGAATGTAGTACCGGTATTTTTATCTGTTACATAAAACAAACGACTGTTAGATCGTAGGTTGCCAACAGTATTTTTTACACATGACGATATATCTTTTGGTTTAGTCTGAAAATTGCAAGGTGAACGGCACCGTCGTGCTTTGCTTCCATAACTACGGTGATACCAGCAAATATTATCGCGATGTAGTGACGTGCTAGGGGATCGAGAAAGACGTCGACGAGACGAGCTTCTAGAACGGCTTGGTTGTGTGCGTGTAGTCAGTTTTGCTAACTGACTCAGTAAGGTGTCGACTTTGTGTTCTAGAGTCTGTATTCTATCGTGAGTGTCTGGTATTCTGCTGGTGGAAGCGACAGATTGAGGTGTTGACCTCTCGTACATGCGATCCGCGATTTCGGTGAGCCTTTCTATGTCAATGTCGTCATCTCCGAAAGCAAGAACCTGCTGGATGTTTGCGGGAAGTCGTCGCAGCCAGATTTGATAAAAGAGACGTTTGTCGATTTCTCTTCCGGCAACTAGGCTTTGCATATGCCTCATGAGTTGCGATGGGGTTTTATCCCCTAACTCAACATTGCTTAACAGGCGATCGAGTGCTTGCCTATCCGAAAGCGAAGTGCATCGCAGTACCTCTTCCTTCAACTTGTCGTAAGGCGCTTCTGTGCTGGGTTGAACGATGTATTGCCGTACCTGCTCGGCGACTTCGTCTGGTAGTACTGTACTCAAAATGCAGAATTTAGCTGTCTGTGACGTTAGCTTATTGCTAGCCAAATAATGTTCCAGTCGTGCAAACCAAAGATGAGGGTCTCTGGGCTTAAAAACTGGTACAGTAAGAGAAATAGTGCTAACAGATCCCAGCTCTAAGTTATCAGAGGTATTGGAAGACATGTTACAATTCGTAAAAAAAATGGTTTAAGATTAGCAAAATAGCAAAATTTGTGCGCAATAAGAATACGGCAAACAGAAAAAATGCAATGCAGGTGCTTACCACAAATTACTGCAGGTTGTGCTATGAGCAAACACAAAAATGAGTTCGAATTGTTTAATAAATATATAAATCCGCGAAAGTTAGAGTTTTAATAATCCAGTAAGTGTAATGACGCGTCGAGGTCAAAAGTCGTCGTCGGAGTCAGCAATTTGTCGTCGGGATCAGCAAGTTATCGTTTTGTCGTCGGGGCTCACCAATTTGTCGCGTGTTCTATTTGACTAAATGAGCGTACACGTATTTCCTAGTACTTCTTCACGTTTATCAATGTGCGCAGACGTTGTGGCTACTCGACGCCCACAACGTAAAATCAGAAGGCACTTGTGAAGAGTGTAATCGTGTATTATAGCCGTAGTCAAATTTTCGAAAAAGTATCAAGGTAACGTTCAACAGTAAATTGGCAAATGTTTACGAAGTACATATAAAATCGGTATGTGTAAACATATAATATGAGTATGCAAATTAGATTAAAATCGTATGTTTATAGTTGGTATGGGGGTACTACAATCTTACTTCTGAAACCTCTGAATCGATTTCTGAGTATTTTTTGGTTTCCCTAACCTAGTAGTCTATTTCAGTGATCGCGGAGGAAAATATCTTACGAGTCGATTTGTTCTAACAGGACCGGCTTTACCGCGTTTTTTGAGAGGTCTTTAATTATTATTGAGGACAAATTCCCCGACGGTACAACCTGCTGCAAGGTGGTTGTGGCGCCACACAACTCTACTGTTGCTGTAGATCTTTCAATTCACCCTCACAGCTTGGTGAGCTGCCTCCCACATTATGTTCTAATTGTATACAATGCTTGAAGAACGTTCAGACATCTGAAATTACTACTGTAAGTTGTGGTGATGGTGGTTTGGCCTGCAGTTATCGGCTACTACGAGTCAGCTCAGCTCCTGCTGCGTGGATACCCTGTACCACTGGCTGGCGTCATACAACTACTTCTCGCCTGCTTCTCCTGTTATGTGTGACCATAGTTATTGTTTTGACCCTGCAAAATGTTACCTTGTGTCCCCCTGTCCGAATCACTTCACCATAATATCGGGGGATCAGTTTATTACAGTAGGGCTTTTCACGTTAACTTGGTTGATTTCGGGATGGCCCTTAGTGACGGAGAATTTCTATTATGTGGTGTACTTCCCTTTTAAGGCATACATAACGCAAGCTGTAGTACACATCTGGATATTCATCCATTTGTTGATCATGAAAACAAATCACTACGTGTACAGCGCCAGTGAATCAGAATATAGTTTACAGTTTACAATTTATTTAGGATAGTAGGCTATATGCCTCTGTTAATCCTTTCGATTTGTTACACACAGGAGGTCCAATCTCGCCTTGAATGAATCAACGGATGGCGCCGATACGACGTGTTCCGCTAGGGAGTTCCAATGGTTCACAATTCGATGCGAAAAACGGATCTCCAGACGCAGACGATTCGACCGTGGTTTTTGAACCTTGAGGTGATGTCCTCGCAATCGGTTGGTGCTAGAAGGAAGAAATAATATCTAAGAAATAATGAAGATATTCTGACAGCTGCATTTCTAATCCCACTGAGTCATCCGATGGTACTATTCACCTCTTGCACTCTTAAACCATCATTTTTTATGGATTATTTAGCAATAATTCTGGTTCCTAATGGCATATGAATTCAAAAATTCACCTGTCGCTGTTCTCGGTGATTTGTTAATACTTCTTTACATGTTTACTGGACACTAACTGCTGTATTGAGTCACTTGGAGATGATATTGCTGGTAGGTGTCGGTAAACTTACGTTTGACAAGTCATTTTTATACTTTTGTGAATAGCTTACCAGACCTACTTTAACACAATTAGCGATGTGGCACGAGCATTTCACAGTCAGAAGGGATCTGTTCGGAACTCATACTGGCCTTAGGGCAATCGTTCATGTCCACTTCTAATTGCCAGAAGACGGATGCCAGATCTGAAGCAGAGAACACTGAGAGCCAGTAATTGCATTGAGAGTTGCATCAATGTGATGAATTGGGAAAGAGTTACGTCTGGTCATGGCGTTCATTTTGTGATAGTCAAAACACACTCGGAGGGAGCCGTCCTACTTTTTAACCAAGACGATGGGTGGCGCCAATGTAGATAATGGTACTATGACATTTTTGTCCAAAATGTCTTGGGCTGAAGTATCTAGTTGGGGCTAATAGTGAAAAGGAATCCGTCTAAGTGGTTGACGCACAGGTGGGTGGCTCCCTGTGTCAGTGGGGTGTTGGAAAATATTGGTGAGTCCCAGATTATTCCCTTCGTCAAAAACATCGACATATTCTCCAATTTACGTCAATATCTGTCCCCGAATGAGAGCAGATGGATTGACTGAAATTTTATTGAGGATGAAGGATACGGATAAGTTCGACCCAGGGCACGTCGGTTGCTGACAGCGATATAAGAGTATAGAAACTGAGTCAGTGGTAACCTAGGAATAGGCGACGTCTATAAGGGTGGAGTGTGACGTAAGAAAATCTACACCGAGAATCAGGTCTCATGTAACCTGAGCGCAGATGGGAAACTGGTGGTAGACATTTAGATCTGCAAGACTGACCTGTAAGCACACGCAAGGTCGGGTTCCCATTTTAGCACCTTCAGCTATTGTCAAGGTATTGTGAGTGGCTCCTGGCGGGAAGTGTTGGGATAATGGTCGGAGGAATGAAATATTTACGCGTGACACACCAGTATCGCGGAGTATTTTAGAGGGCACTCCGTTAAAGTAATCCCACACCGTCAATGCGTCTCCATACCATTAGTGGTCCCCCACTACATGAATATGTAGATAAACTGTAAAACGGGGATTCACTCTGTTGAACCTACTGGTTGTTACCACTCTTGTACTCCTTCGTACTAAACCTTCTACAGCAGCAACAATTGGAGGAGTTGCTATCTTCACATTTTTGCCGGCTACCCACAGGAGCTTTAGGGCGACGTTAGCCGACGGAAGCTACCATAGGTTTTGCGGAGACTACACAGTAATGTTTTCTGTACATGGCTGTGTAATCTTGTTCTGAGACCATGAGCCGAGGAATCGTCTGCTCAGCGTCTAGCGTGCTGGTTGGGGGAAGCTGCAGGAGGTGTATGCAGATCACCAGGAAGTAAACTGTTGACGAACCGTGCGCTGGATCCTCATAGGTGTCAGCGCGAGGCACCATGGTCTGCGAAACCTGACAGTAATCCAAAGGACTCTCCAGGTAATGAAATGTTTCATCATCACATGGTTGGGGCCTAAATGCAAGCCAAAACAAGCGTCCAGTATGCCCCAGTTTTCGCTAGCAGGGTGCGTGCTACAAACACCAACAGCGTCGGCTAGTGAGTAGGCTTCTACTGAGGGGGAATCGGAGATGTGGATAGAATGATGACCCAGCAGAGCTAGACTGAGAGACGCCTGCATGCCATTCTTCCACGCTCAGTAGTCTGAGCTGAGTTCGAAGATTGGAGGTAGGCGAACAGCAAGCACAATGGGAACAGTAGGTACACATTCCTCTGGAAAAAGCGTAGGGGTTCCCCATCTGATGGAAGATCCATCTTTTTTGAACAATTGGGCACTACTGATACCACTTTTTAACGGACTGAGCAACAGCCACGTAGAATGCGAGCTCTGTAAGAGCGTCTTTTTGGTACAGTGGCAGAAATCAGAATGCCAGCGCCAACCTCTCAAAAACAAACAGTCTATCTGTGATCACTTATATTGAGTCCTGATAGAAGTTGTGCGTCTTGCTCCTCAGAATGGACTCCTCGGTGTTATCCTGAAAGGAGAAACGGAAAACAGTGTTAACTACTCTACCTGTAACAGTTGTTATTTTGTTACACTACCACATGTGGTGAGACTTCAGTTGTTACGCGTATTTTCGCTAAATCAAAACAATAATGATGCCGAGGATTATATCATGTAAATAGCTTACTGGGCTTACCTTTCCTTGTACATATTTATATATATCCTGTGCGAGCGAATAATTGTAAATATGCTTACTTCATGAATATATTATTTATAATATTGATGATGTTTGTAAATTTGCGTCCCCTATGTATGGAAAATGGGAATACATGTTATTGCTACTATCGTTTTTTGTTAATCGTGGCTGACGGAATTTATGGTGGTCCACCAGTATGTATCACCTGACCTTGTCTCTCTTGATTATCGCATGATGTTAACTCCCGCCAACGGTTGTTATCCTCAGATGAGTACTGTATTCTATCTCTCATACGTACGTAAATGTAATACTCCAACCATTTTGTTCAACACATCAGTGTTGTCCTATTACCTTGCACAAACACTTTAGGTGGGATGTTATCATTAAGCTCAAATGCACGCTAGTGACTTTATGAAGGCTTGTTGTCAAAAAACCGAACAATTTTTGATCTTGACTCATGTCTCTGCCAGTGATTCACCACGGCAGTGAGTGTCCGATAAAACGTACAAAGAAGTATTGTTGCAGCAGTAGGCAGTTTTCAGTCCATGTGAGGACAGGAACCAAGATAATGGACAATTAATCCATATAAAATGACAATTGGAGCACGTAAAAGCTGTAAATTATTATCA